GGCCCGCGAGGACAACCAGCCACTCCCCGCGCTGAGGAGGGGCCCTGAGAGACCCAGAGCCATTTCTTGGCACACAAGGGCCGGGAGCGAGGGCCAGAGCGGGGCCCAGCCCGGTGATACTCCGCCCGGACGCGGACGGGAAAGTCCCGGCGTGGCCCCGGCCAGAGCCCGCTTCCGGGCAGGGGCAGCCTTGGCTTGGCGGGGGCGGGAGTGGGTTGACCAGGAGGTCCCGGGACAGGCGAGCGTGCGGGGATTCGTGACCCAGGTCTGCTCCCCGCTTTAGGAGGTCCCCCACCCGGGGAAGCGATAAGCCCCACCTGAGAGAGGGAGGCTAGCGAGAGGTTTAAAACGAGTGCGCCAAGGGGGGACGCCGAGTGCAGCGCGCCGAGTCCAAGGAGCCGGGGGCGCTGCCCGGTGATACTCTGCCCGGAGACGGGATGGAGCGTGGGATAGGAAGGCAGCCTGGCGGTCCCGGGGGTCGCCTCCTTTCTGGTGGGGTAGATCATTCGCTTGGCAAGGGCAGGAGGAGGTTGGCCAGGAGGCCCCGGGACTTGGGGTTTCGGGTGGGGAGTGCGCAGACAGAAGGTGTGGGGAGTTCAGGCAGACATCAGGACGCACGGCTTCAGGCAGGGTGGCCAGGATCTGGAACCAGCTTCCAAGGGAAGTGGTGCTGGCTCCTTCCTTAGGGGTCTTTAAAAGGAGGCTAGATAACTACCTCGCTGGGGTCATATGAGCCCAGTATTCATTCCTGCCCAGGGCAGGGGGTCGGACTTGATGATCTGCCCAGGTCCCTTTCGACCCTACATCTGTGAACCTACGAGTAGTGACCCAGGAGACGGGGCAAGATGGACCTGTGCTCTGACCCAGTCAGTGGCCATTCTTATGTTCTTAAGTGGATGGATCGTGAGTACAGAGCGATCTTGACTTTGGGCTCTTCTCAGACCTGTGTGTCTAGGCCAGTAATTCTCAACCCCAGGGGCTGCGGCACACAGTCGTCTGAGCCTGTGCTGATTTACTTGCCCCTCCCTGCCTGGCCACAGCCTGGCCCCTCTGCAAGGAGGGAAGCACCATCATAAATGCCTGTTTTTGCAGTCGAATGCTGCTCAGTTCACCGCTCTGTAACTTCTGTGCCAAATGAGGTCTGCCTCAAATCTAAAAAGAGGTTGAGAACCACTGATCTAAGCTAATGGATCCAGTGGTGGGATCAGTGCTGAAGTGTGTAATTGAGACTAGTGACACCAGATCTTTAACAGTTCTCTGGATCAAAGATGGTGTTTGTCAGACCTCCTGAAATTAAACTCTTGACAGCAGAGGCAAACACAAAGAGGGTGATGTTTTATCCTTTTAATGTTTTATTACAGGCAGTCAACAAATATTGGGCTTCATCGCCATGTATACCCTGACAACAGAACCTGTGGCCTTATTGCTTCCTAATGGAAAACATTTGTGACATCCGGTCCTTTCAGGAATGAGCAGGGTTGGTGGCCTGGCTTTACTGACGTGACTGTGCTGGTTCACTGACCAAAACCTGTAACTTTAGTTGCTGCTGTTTTGAAACTACAACTGAAAAGGTAATAAAGATTGCAAAAGTTGTAAAAAACAGCTCACTTCAATCCGGTGTTGAACTAGTATGGGCAAATGCATGATAGCTATTCGGATCCATATGCAGTAGGTAATTTGAAATCATTAGAAGTGCACTGATACATCGGTCCCACATTGGATCGGCACTAATATAAAGAAAATTGACAGTATTGGCCATCAGCTTTTTTTGGCTGAAGTGGCCGAATATGGCCAATAAATTCCCCATGCGTGCACGCAGCTGCAGTGTGGTATGCAGGCAGCCAGAAGCACAGCCCAGCAATTTGGAGAAGAGCCGAGTCCGGCCTGTAAGTCTATTGTAAGGGAAGCGGGGTGGGGTGCAGATTGAGGCCCCTGTGGTGAGGGAGGGAGCAAGTCTGGGGCAGGTGCTGCTCAGCCAGGGTGGAGCAGAGCCATGGTTTGTCCGGGAGGTGGGGGGGTGGGGTGGGGGGAGAGCGGGATGGCTCCCTCCACTGATTGCATCCCAGGAGGGCATGGGGATGTGTGCTCCCGGCTCTAGGTGGAGGGCGAGGGCAGGCTGCTACTGTGGGCTGGAGCAGAGGCTGGTGCTGAGCTCTTCCAGGTGAGAGTGCTGGGCCAGGCTGCGCTCAGGGTGGGCAGCGGTGGTGCTGGGAGGGAGGGGGAGGGGACTACGATGAATTTTGGGGTGGCTGCAGCCCCCCTCCCAGCACCACCGCTTCCCACCCTTAGTGCAGCTTGGCCCAAACCCCTCTAGGAAGAGCCTGGCCCCACCCCAGCCTGCAGCAACAGCCTGCCCTGTCGCTGCATGCAGATCCAGGGGCACAAGGCGCCCTATGCCCTCCTGGGGTGCATGCAGCAGTGGGAGCTACCCCCCGTGGATGAGCTGTTCTTGCCTCCATCCCAAGCCCCGCCCTAGCTGTGCAGCTCCTGCCCCAGCTCCACTCCCTCCCTCACTGTGGGGACCTCAGTCTGTACCCCCCATGCCCCTTCCCTCGCCCCCACAACAGACTTACCAGCTGGACCTTCATATTGGCAGTCGTATCGGTATTGGCCAATATGGCTCATTAAAAATAGGCCATCAGTATCAGCCCCAAAAATCTCTGTCAGTGAGCCCCTAGAAATCATTCTAAAAAGTACCTTGTGTGGCATGCTGGGCCTATTGACTGATGCTGTTACTTTTTGCCCCTTGCTTTACTTTCTTCAGTCAAGTTTCTACCTCATGCCTAATAAAATGCTATCGAGATATGATTAGTATTGCATTTTCTTTTCTCCTACATCATTTACACTTTTTTAAAGGTTTGGTTTCTAATGATCATAAGATGAAAAAATATAACTTTTTATGAACTTAGTAGCAGTAACTTAATTTACAGCTTTCACTAAAACTGTACAGTAAAAAGGATGATACCATTTTGTGTAATATAAGGATAGCATTATATAATTTGTGGGTTTTGCTAAAAACATACAATGAGATGAGACATTCTACTACTTTAAAAAAATTAAAGCAGAACATAGTGTGCAGTGATACAAAAAATAAGTAAAATGAAGCAATGTACAATAGTAAACTAAATCAGGGGAGTTGCGTTTGATTTGGGCTCTTTGTGCAAGTAACACAAATATGCCTAGGAAGTAAAGAGAAGTTGGAGAAGCCATATTGTTTTTTTTTCTTCATTAGCCCATTATTTAAAATTTTCCTGTAATGGAGAGAGATGTTTTCCTACGGTAAAAGAAAAATGTCTCTCTCCATTAGTGGAAAATTTTAAATTCCACTCTCTTCATCCTTGAAGAATGAACAGGGCCACAAATAGTGATTTAAGTTGTAATTTTCATTCCACATCCCTTTCCTTAAGGAGGGTAACATTATTTTGTATATGGCAGGAGTATCAAACGTGGGGCCTATGGGCTACCGTAAGGCTGATGCTGTGGCTAGGGAAGAGCATGACCTGCCTCAGAATTTGAAACCTAGAGAGCCCTCTGGGCATGGCTCTTGGTTGCAGGAGGGTGAGTGAGGGCTGTGCTGATGCACTTGATCTGCTGCTGTCTGGCTCCGTTGCCACCACTGGACTTATGGCAGCCACTACTGGACCTGCTGCTTATAGATCCAGCCCAGGAAGAGCCCCATGGTCTAATCAGGCCCAGGACAAGGATGACACCCTGGTAGAGGGGAAGGATCCAGCTCGCCCAGGTGGAGGCAACTTTTCTAGTGGAGTCCCAACTGGACTCCTAGCTCCAACTCCATGTCCTTTTTTCATAACTTAAGAACTGTGATGGAGCATGTGATGGAAAATGATGGTGTGTGTGCAGTAGCTTTAAGCTGTGGGAAAAGTATAATCTTAGCTTTCATTGTTTTGATACAGTCTATTATTCTTTAAAATCTAAGTTTAATAACCTGAAATGTATCCTCCTAATGGACTACTTGAATAGCCTGTTTAGTTCTTGCTGATTATTTGAAATGGGTTCGTATGTCTGCAGAAAATTTAAATGTCTTCAGAAGACAAAGAAGCTCAGGAGGATGAGCTGCTGGCTTTGGCTAGTATTTATGATGAAGATGAGTTCAAGAGAGCAGAGTCTGGCCAAGGAGGAGAAACTAAAATCTGTTTCGAGTTGCCCCCAAATTTCAAGATATTTGTGAGAGGTGAGTTCAGATGTTTTGCATTTTTGTGAAACATGTTCTTAAAACGGTCTGTTTTTTTAAAGATATACTTTCAAAAAAGAGCTACCCAAACATTTTTTGTTTTTGAGAGGTAGTTAACTGTTTTAGTCTGAAGTTAGGCAGAAGGCAGGACAGGGTGGGATTTTATAACTAACTTGTTCAGTGAGGCATGAGCTTTCATAGGCTACAGCCTCTTATGTCAGATGGGACTTGCAGAGAGTAGGGGTACTAAATAAGAAGGACTAATTTCATTTTAATCTGAAGGATAGGGAAAGGGGGAAGAAAAGAGGCACTGCTGCAAGAGGCCTAGGGTCAGCTGAAGTAATCAAAGGGGAGTCTTTATCTTTGTAATAGTGAGTAATTTCTCATACATTACCACTGTAGAAGGTTTCACCCATTCTGACCATGGTATGACTTAATTATTTTCATATCACTTTTTAAAAACAGAAGCTGAGAGAGAGTGACTTCTAAATTGCATGTGAGTTGGTGGTGTTTATGGAATTTTTAATAACTTTTCCAAATGACTTCCTAAGGAAAATTCTCCAGTGTTTCCAAAGCTTTTTCGATTTTGAAGTGTGCATACTTTTATGCAAATTGACTGTTCACATCATTGAGTCCCCTTGAAACAAACTATAATTAGGTTTGTAAGTGTTTTCATTTTTATTTAGTGTACATTTGTAACACTTTATTTCTGTAGTCCCTTCCATCTGAGGCTTCAAGAAACTTGGAATATTAAATTAAAGGACTTCATCTTTTTTTTTTAAATGACACTTCCTGGGGGAAAAAAGTTGCCTGCTGTTGTTACAAGTAACACTGAGCATTACCAAATATGTCAGATTATTCAAAATTATTTTTCTTTATTTCTTCAGGTTGTTTATTTGTGCATCTGTCACCATTATAGTTAGTTTTATTTGTTCCCATATGTATTAATTCAGTTTCCTATTTGTATGGTCCAAACGTGGAAACAGATATAAATCTTTATTTTTGGTGGGATAACTTTGAAACTCATCTCCCTGCATTTTAGACCCTGTGTTCTTTTATGTTTCCCAGACCATGAGGGGGTACTACCAAACCCATCAGATAACTGCCTCTGCTTTAATTTACTTGTTGATTGTTGTTTGCCAAAAATTACACAGTGAAACATAAAATGCTCAGCCCTGATCTCTAGAAACACTTCTCTTGAAGTTGTCTGAAACATGAATGGGCTCTTTCTCAAGTTACCCAGAGTAGACCTTAATATTGAGAGGAAGGGTAGTCATCTTCTTAAACTTGTCTTTCCAAATTCTCTGGTTTCTCGTTTACCTGACAGGTCGCAGTGTTTATGGAGTTAGTATTCACCAATTCAGCCTGAAGCATACAGCTCTATGAAATTTTTCTGCATTAAGAATGGGTATAGTCTGAGATAAGCTGTTAGACAAGAAATTCACCAAATGAAAAGAGAAGTCTTGGGGACCATATCAAGCTGTTATACTTCATCAGACTGCAAAATCCAGAATCATAGTTCTCTTGCTCTCTCTCAGATTGCTTCAATCAATTGTCTTTGTTTCAGGCAGTCCTAATGAGAGGCTCCTGCACAATGGGTTTGAGTATACAATTTGTTTTCTGCCTCCACTTGTGTTGAATTTTGAACTTCCACCAGACTACCCTTCAGCCTCCCCACCTGTGTTCACGCTCAGCGGCAAGTGGCTCTCCCGGACACAGGTTTGGCCTTACATCTTTTTAACGCTACTTTCAGCTTTCAAGAACATGAAAAATGCTTATTATGAACAGTTTAATGATCGGTAGTGAAGGAACTGGAGACTAAACTCATGTTTTTAAAGTCCAGATTAATCCAGGTTCAGATGGAGGAACAATGTTCTGAGGTAGAAATATACACTTATCATGGCTTGCATGAGAGTGCCATAGGCTGAGACAGCAACTACTTGAGAACATGCAAACTAATGTATTCCCATCCTCATTGTGGTGGATATGTCTCCAGTAGTGGGGAAAAATCGGAATACCTCTCATAAAATGTGCCAGTAAAGCTTAATAAATATCTTCTGGAAAATACAATTGATGTCAGCAAGAGAACAAGAGAGATATCCAAGCTAAGAACAAATAGAAATAACACAAGCAGAGATGTATGGTTGCTATTGCCTACCTGTGCAAGCTATTTGGAAGCCAAGCCTTATGAGCTAGCAGCAAACAATCTCTGCCTCTCTTTCTCTCTCTGCATGTAAGCAGAGTGTACAAGTACCTGAGCTTTTTGGACCTGAGCTGCTGGACTGGAAAACCAGAAAACAGCTTGTTAATTATTTGTCACATATTTGGTGTGCACTTTTTTCATAAAAATGATGCAAGATTAGATCTGAGTCACTTTGAAAATGGAGCTTTGGCCCACAGTGCTACATTTTAAAGGTATTAAAAGATGGGCACCTAATAGGGGCTTTTGAATCCTCTCTGCCTAGTTCCCTGTGTTTTCAGTGACAGTGAAGCACCTTAACATGCATTAGGCAGTTTTATAAATCCCATTAGCTGCTTGTCTAAATCTCTAGGCACTTAAATGCCTTTGAAAATCTGTTCCACAGGCATTTTTGAAAGTGACCTACCCACGCTGATTTGAAGTCTCTTACACTGCTTATATATCATGTGCTATAGGGTAGGTATTCTTGTAGATGCCTATCATACTGTAAAATACAACCCGTATCTTGAAAACAGGTGTGTATTGTGTCACAAGACTCAAGCGGTTTCCACCCTATAAGAAGGGCTTTGTGATCCATTTTCCCCAAAAAACTCTCATCTTACTCTGAAATACACAGTAGAAAACAGCATTTTTTTTTTTTTATAAAGAACAAAACCTTTTTTTAAATAAAGCCAGGCACTGCACTAACAGTTTTGCTGCATATTGCGTATTTAATTGAGCTATTTTGCTCACAATTTTAGTAGCCTTGTTCAACTAGAGTTCATTCTTGAGCAGTGGAGAACTTAGTAAGAGAAATATGCAATTTATGTGGATTTTTTTCTTCATCAAACTTTAAGAGTTATTAAAGTTAACATAGTCTGCTTTTTCAGATATTTCTATAATGTTAGGGAGGAAACTGGAAAAGCAGTTTATTTCTGCAGATCAGGCTTTCAAAGCTAACAGCGTTCAGATAACATGCCTGATTTACCACCTTGTGAAATGTGCACTCAGGTGAGGTGATCACAGCTGGATTAACTTGACTCTTGCTGAAACTGCAGCGTCTATTGTCTGAATTAACATTTGGCAAGTGTAGCATGAGCTGTTATGCTCTAGAAGCAGCCACTGGATAGTGTAATTTGGAAAAGAGAAATTGAGGGTTATGAATGGGTCAGAAATTCAGAGACTGCATTCAAAGTGTGCTGCTGCTAGTAAATCAACAGATTATAATTGCAGCTAAAGCAGTGATTCTCAACCAGGGTGATGTGGCACTGTGGGGTTCCTTGAGATCTTTGTGAAGCTGCCACACATTGTTAGCACTGTTAGATGTGCAAATGTGATTCACAGGATAAACCCAGAGATTTCAAATAGGAAACTAGTGTCAAAAACATTCTGACCTGTTGTGGTCTTTCTGAGTTGTTTAAAACCAAAGAAATTATCTAATATTTTCTGTAGTCAGAAAATAAGTGAAAAGTAAGATCTGGCATTTTCTGAGGGGTGCCTTTGGTCTAAAAGGTTGAGAACCACTGAGTTAGAGGAAGGGCATGCAGGTGAGTGTCTAACTAAATTTAAACCTTATTCCCTATTCACCACTAAGACTTCACCGCTAAAAGAACTAGGACGCAGTGTTAAAATGTCACTGCATGTCGCACAAGTGCATATCGGGAGGTGAAGTTTTCTGGTCCCAAGTAAATGTCTGTTCCAGTCCACTATATTAAAATTTGGTCTGTGTTTGATAATGAAAGTGGAAAAGGTGAGTGTTTTATGAATTAGTACATATATTTATCTGTTGCACTAAGTTTTGAATGTTTAAAACACCAGCATGGGAATAAGTCACAGGATAAAATATTACTCTTCAAATTGGGGGGAAACAGATGGCTGAATGTTCTGAATATTCTATATTTGGTCCAGCCAGAGTGGTGGTGCAGACTTTTTTTTTTTTTCATTACAGTCCAAACTTTGAAACCCTAAGTTTTTAAATATCTATAATTCGTCTGTTTTTTCTTTGCTAAAACTAGCAACCTCCACCTGTAACTTAAAATGACTAAATCAGACTATCACTTTAGTAGTAACTAAGTGGTACTTAAATGTTTGCCAGAAAATAGAGGAGTTCTTGTGATTACACTACGCTTTAATTTATTAGTTAGACATGCTGCATAAAACTGGAGAGAAAATAGTACTTTTTTGCTGCTTTGTACAAGAGAGGCATACAAGATGTAAGTTCTGTAAATATGAATGGAAGGCTTGTCCTGTCCTTATTTTTCTTGGAAGAATCCTTGGACCTTAACGTTTATAGAACAGCATTAATTATTGCATCATGTGATTTTTTTTTTTTTTTTTTTTTTTATAAATTTCCCATCACTTTTATCTCCTTCTAGCATCTTTATAATGCGCCTTGGTTTTTCATATTATGGCAGATTGTGGATTTATGCTTTGGCAATTGGAAAGTGATCAGATGAGAGTGGTTGCTTTCCTATATTTCCTCCTGAGTACTGTATTGAATTAGTTTATTTTGTGGCTTAAATTTGAAATTGGAGATTTCCATAAAAGAACACCACAGGAAAGGCAAACTTTATGATGAGTGAGAAGTTGTTGGCAGATGTTTCTTCATTCAGTTTCTGAGTCTTAACTTCTCTTCTAGCTCAGTGCTCTCTGCAAACACTTGGACAACTTGTGGGAGGAGAATCGAGGTTGTGTGGTCTTATTTGCATGGACACAGTTTCTCAAGGAAGAAACACTAAGTTATCTGAACATTGTCTCCCCGTATGAGTTAAAAATTCACCACCAAGGAAATGGGCAATGCAGGACATCATTGGTGCCTCCAAATGCTGAGCTGGATAGTTGCGGTGCAGCAGGCACCACAACAGCTGAAGAAGAAATCCTTGATAAAAGAGCTGTACAGGATGTGGAATCTCTGTCAAGTCTAATTATGGAAATTGTAGACTTTGATCAGGCCCAACGGAAAAAATGTTTTAACAGTAAGATACACTTGTGCAGTATCTGCTTTTGTGAGAAGCTAGGTGCTGAATGTATGTACTTCATGGACTGCAGCCATGTCTACTGCAAAGCCTGCATGAAGGACTACTTTGAAATTCAGATCCGGGATGGTCAGGTCCACTGCCTTAACTGTCCAGAACCAAAGTGCTCTTCTGTTGCTACTCCTGGTCAGGTAATATTATTAGCCCCATATAATCGGTTCCTGCACCCCTTTAACCTGCTAATAAGAGTTCAGACTCATAGATGTTCATGCAAAGTATATTCATTAAAGCACACAGTGTTCTTTTCCCCTGGAGGCAATGTGTAACCATCTAAGTTAGAATAGTGTGCTTAGAATCTGAGTTCATCTGGCACTGTAATTAGCATCAGATGTCTCAGACGGGGGATTGGTTTCATAAGATGTCACTGGCACGGATTGTTTTCATTACGGGCATTTTTACACGTGCTCCTGATGCAGAACTGAGCACTTTTATTTAGCAAGTCACACTAATTAAAAGTGCTGGGTGCTGCGTTGGAAACAGATGTATCAGTGGCGCATCATGTGTCAGCACTGATAAAATGGTAGCGGTGCAATTTGAGCTCTTTAAAACATTGAACATGTTTTAGTTCAAAGCACACTGCCGCCATTTTCACAGTGCTGGTGCACGAGACTGCCAGCGCACATCAGTTTACGTGCTCAAACAGACTCAATTAATTGAGTCTGCTCTGACGCACTGTATTTCCAGTGTGTTGGAGCAGACTCTCTGGATGTGTGTAAGTACCCTATAGATTTGCCAGTGCCAGTGGTTTGAATTGCCAGTGAATCTTCAAAGCACGTATCCCCAGAAACTGCAGATTTAACTACATAGCTTCATTAGTAACTTCCATACCTTACCTCTCCTTATATTGCTTCCATAAGCTGACTTAGGGGAAAGTAATATTTTAAAATGCATCAAAGCATATTTGAACTAGCTACCAGTACTCATTTCCTTGAAGTGTTTTTCTTGTAATAGTAACTGAAATTCTGAATAAATGCATGCTATGATGTTTTGATCTGTGCTTAGGTTAAAGAACTGGTTGGAGAGCAGTTGTTTGCACGCTACGACCGCCTGCTTCTGCAGTCCAGCTTGGACTTGATGGCAGACGTGGTGTATTGCCCTCGCCCATGCTGTCAGACTCCAGTGATGCAGGAACCTGGTTGCACCATGGGCATATGTTCCAGTTGCAACTATGCCTTCTGCACCCTCTGCAAAATGACTTACCATGGAGTGTCTCCATGTAAAGTCACTGCAGGTGAGTGACACTTGTTTGCAAGTTGAGCCCAATGTTACAGTTTCTATCGTGAATGCATAAATAAATACAGGGAAATATTTTTTTCTCCTTCTTACACCTTCTGCAGTAGGAAACCTTTGCATTGATGCAGCCTTCAGTATCTGATGGTGGGAGTGGAATTCTTGGACTTCCCTTGATATTGGCAACTTACGGAGCTGAAAACCTTGCTCCTGCCGTGCTGCAGTAAAATGAAGAAGTTGAGGGGGAAAAGTGTTTATTGCAGTATAATAATGGAGTTACTGAATCCTCATGCTTCAGGGTTGTTTTTTTTAATACAAAATTGATTATTGATTATCTGGGGGAAATATAGCACATAGAAATGGACATGTGAATGTATCCTGTCCCCACAGTGGCTTAGTGCCAGAGGAAGGTATAACAGACCCTCAAGGTGAGCACTTGAGAGAATCTGCCCACAGAAAGTTTTTTCCAATAACTGAGGAGTTTAGTTCTAGGGAATGAAGTGTTTTGATATTCAAAATAGTTTCAAACCTATACTAAGGTAACTCAGGATGTTCTTGCCTGCTTCATACAAGTTTCCATTTGTTTTGATTCCATTTTTTTTAATCCTGGTACTTAATGGGATTCTTGGTCATGAGAAATGTGTTGTTTAGAAAGCCTTTTCCTTTTTGTCATTTTTATATTTGCTACCTGTTTTTACTCTAATAGACTGTCTTCTTGTTGTTATGAAAAGTGGTGAAAGGAAGCGTCTTTCTACTATTTATTTCTATAACGTTCTCATGTCCACTTCTATCTGATTTAGGGAGGAGACGAAATATATCTTTTCACTTGTCACTTCATATGAAACCTTTTCTGTTAGTGTAACCAGTTTTGTCATTTGTCTTTAAACCCCTTTTATTTCACTTCTAGTTTTGTGGGATAGAGTGACCAGAATGCAGCATTGTATGAACCCCATTGATTTATATCCTGGCATTGCAAGATTTTCAGTATTGCTTTTTATTCTGTTCCTTAAGCATCTTGAGGATTTGATTGCTTTTAACTACTGCCATACATTGTGCAGGTGAAAGGAACATCTTGTTCAACATGCTCAAGTTTATAAACTTATAACTTGAGAGATTGTAGACTACATGTGGGTCAGCAAGCGAGATAAAACTTCTGGGTGGCTGTTCCTTTTTTTTTTCCCCTGTCAGGGCTATTGGAATCCTCTTGGTCACTGAGGTCTTTGAAGCCTCCTGGATTATGTCTCCAGTGTGCTTGGCTCATCTTTTTAAGCATGCAGGGGCATCTGGAAAGTTTTCTGTAAGTCAGAACTGATCACTTATGTCCATTGGCAAACCTTACTTGCATTCACTGTATGAAAGCATTATAGCCTATCAGTGATTGTATTGGTTTCTTTGGAAAATACATTAGACAATTGGACTTCTTAATACAGTACCATGCATAAAAGGCAAAGGGGTCTTTTCAGTTTCTCTGTTTCTTTTCCTAGAGAAGCTAACGGAGTTACGTAACGAGTACCTAGAAGCAGATGAGGCCACAAAAAGATTTTTAGAACAGCGCTATGGCAAGAGGGTGATTCAGAAAGCCCTGGAGGAGATGGAAAGTAGAAAATGGCTAGACAAGAATTCAAAATGCTGTCCTTGTTGTGGTACTCATATAGAGGTGAGTTTCCCAGGGCAAACTGAAGAATCCCAGTTTGCTCTTAACTGAACTGTCTTAAGTTATTCAGGTAATTTCTAATGGGAGTCAGAATATTAAAGATTGGTTTGTGGGACTCAGAATAACAAGGGTTGTAAATCCCTAGTTGTGTGTCAAGAATTTTCACATTTCTGTCCACATTGCATATAATGGAGGTGATGCCTCCAGAGCAGTGGGTATTTAATAATAATACTGCTGGCTACTATTTATATTCATTGTTCCACTGCTAAAAACCTTGGTTGGCATTGGTATTTGAGCCTCATATGTGCCATAGACTTCTATACTGTTCATATACTACTTATAAGCATCTTTCTTTAATTACTAAATGGGTTCACCATTAGTCCTCAGGGTAATTGCTAATAAATGCTTCAGGGAAAAGACAGTTCTGAGTCTGTTTAATAGTAAAGCAAAAGAATGCTGCAGTGTCACTATCTAGTCGTTCACCAGCAATGAATAATTTTTACCATGTTGATAGTATCTTTGCTTGCAAGAATTTATATTCACTATTTTTGTCAGTCAGAGCAGCTGGCATTACAGTAAACAAATTTCTCCACAGCTGGCTCATTTTTTAAAATCGGGGTCAAGGGAGGACAAAGTACTGGATTTTTGCAGCCAATTTTGTTTTTTTGTTGGCTCCTTGCCCAGTGACCCACAATTGTAGACAGAGAGAAATGCTCCAGTCACAAAATACCCTCAAATTATGCAGAAGTGTCATGTCTTGAGACTGAGACATGAGAAATTTAAATCTTTTCTCTGCTGATTGCTGATTACATTCCCATATACTAAAACCTTATTATTTAAAGCCTCATACCTCAACCCTAACCAGGAGTCAAGCATTAGTCTTCCATTTGGCGGTAAGTTACAAACAGGTTTTGCAGGGTCACTTGAGGCAGAATGGGAACTACAGCAGAATCAACTCAGAGAGTTACTTAACATTCCTTGCAGGTTGAACACGCCAAATGTGTAGTTATTTTGGTTGTCTGTCTCCAATCGGCATCTGACACTCCCACCCCAGAATCAGAAAGTCCTCGGCCTATTTTGCTGTTTTCTAAAACAGTTGTCTAATCCGTTGGAAAATTTCTGCTGTTTCCCTTAAGTGGCTAGTGGATGTAGTGAGTAATTTGCTTTGGTAGCTCAGGTGGGTAGAGGTGTGTTGTTGATGTGAAAATTTAAGATTCAAACCCTGCTGGTGATCAGTCATGTGGGGTGTTGTTATCGTTGCATGCTATAACTGGAAAAAGTCATTATTCTTTTGAATAAACTGGGTTCTTCCTTTCACATGTTCATAAAGCAGTCTCTAAAACAGCCGTCCAGTTTCAAAGTGGCTGGGGCCTGAATGCTAAACTGCATAGGCTCTGTCCATCATGCCATGTGACAGATGCCCCCCCCATCATGTCACTACCCCTTTGAGAGCTACATGCAACCGATCGACCAGCCGCTGGTTGGACAGCTTGGCTTTAAAACACTTTTTTTGTATTTAAAGTACATTTTTTTTGTAGTTAAGTGTGGCCAGTTGTGCAACATGCAACCAAATACAGTACAGGTACTTCACTCCATTTCTGAAAATAGATGCTTCTGTATAATTTTTTTTACATTTTGATTGTTGGTGTGACAGGCAGGGTTGCAGCTTGAGAAATTTACACTCTGATCTGTTTGATTCTTATCACTGTTTTTGTCGTTCCTCAACAGAAACTAGACGGTTGTAACAAGATGACGTGCAATGGCTGTAGGCAGTACTTCTGCTGGATTTGTCTGGGGTCTTTGTCTAGGGTGAACCCATATCAGCACTTTCATGATTCATCCTCTCCGTGCTTTAACCGGTACGTATTCACAGTACATGCTCTTGAATCCAATGCAGCTTACATTTGTACAGCTTCTTTCCTACTACCTTTCACCCCTAATTTATTTTTACTTTTCTTGTACTGGAAAAGTCGATGTTAAAGTCTATGTGTACTAGTGGGAGGAAAAATTCTAAGAGGTTGGAAAAGAATGAAATGTGTTCAGATATGGTTTGAAATATGGAAAATTCTTTGAGGAATTTTTAATATGGTGAGAAATCTGCCAGCTGATTGCAGATGCTCTTTTCTCTGCCACTGATTCAGAGGCAGAAATTAATTTTTTTAACAAACTGCTTTCTTAAAAGGTTCTCTGTTGGTGTGATGAGCATGGGGTAAGGGCTGAGGTGGGAAGGCTGCTCTGGACTTTAGGAGCTGCAGACCTTTAGTGAATGTTTCAGCATTAGGATGGTGTGTGGGGAGACCATTACTGCTTGGGCAGATGTGAGAGGAACAGGTGAGAGAGAGGCGTGACACCAGTAAGATGAAAGCTTGTATTCTTTATATGGGGATTTCTTGCTAATCAAGCATGACCAAATAATTCTTTGCAAATATATTCCATTCCCAAATCTTCCGGCAAGTGTCACGTGTCCTTCACTAGAGCATGTTAGGTGCTTTATTCAACCCAACAGAGCCCACTATTTATTTCACTTGAGAATGCTTGCCCACAGGGCCCTGGCAGGAACTGGGATTGGGCCATGGGTGCTTCATCTGGTGGGAGGGGCTGGGTCCCTGCTGCATGCATGTGTGGGGGGGGAAGCAGCCACATACCATCCAGATCTGTGTGCGGGGCAGGGACGGGTACAGGCTGCCTACTGTGGGTTTGGGCTCCCTGCCCTGCTGCCCTCCCCCCAGCAGCTCTGTAGCCCCGTTGGTGGGTCCCAGTGCGGCAGGGTAGAACAGGGCCAGGCGAGGAAGCTCCTTGCCACTCCAAGTGCCGCGCCATCCTGCCAAAGCCCACCCTGCCTGCCCGGCAGCAGTGGGGGTGGCAGTGTGGAGGTGTGCCCCTCACTGCTGCTGGATAGGCAGCGGTCGCTGTACCCATCCCATTCCCCCACCCACCCTTCAAGCAGGGTCCGCTCTGGCTGTGCTGCCCGTGGGGAGAGGAAGCTTGGATCTACTCCCTGTTGGGGTCACAGCAGCCACTGCCTCCCGCAGATGGCAGCTGGGGCTCAGGCACTGCTGCAGACTCTGGTCCCTGGCCCCTTGGCCCTGGCAGCTGGGGGCTCCCTCCAGCAGGGCTGTGGGGGGCGAGGGAGGTTGCGGGTGGGGAGTGAGAGGCACCAGCAGGGGTGGGGGGGCTGTGGGTGGGGAGTGAGGGGCCTGGACCTGTGTCCTGGTGAGTTAAGGGGGCAGGAGAGCTTTGATTTTTTTTTTTTCCATGATAAAAACCTAAAATCAAATACCAAAATTTATAGATACTTAGAATTTATTATACTATAGTGATTGAGCCACTGGTAGGCTTCCAAATTGCTTTAAAAGTATAAATGTGTCAATAAAACATTGTTCCTGCTGCTGGGTAGGCAGCGGTCACTTCACCAGGGCAGTGTGGGGCTCCCAGCAGCAGCACTGAGCTTCCCCACCAGGTCCCACCCACAGGGCTGTGGAAGCCTTGGAGGAAGGGCAGCAGGGTGGGGAGCCCCGAGCCTGTACCCGTCACGTTCCCCCACCTATACCTATTGTGATTGATACCTATTGTGGCATTTCATTTTAATCACAGATCTTTAGGGGGGTTTATCAGAGAATTTGCAATTTTTAAATGGAGAAAACCAGGATCCTTATTGATTGTTAATAAAATTTACTAGTGTTTCGAGGCTCAATGTTGTAAAGCTTGTTAAGAAGTTACAATGTAAGGGGTTAGGTAATTGCAAAATATTTTATTTGAATTAACATTAAGGGTTGCAATATGTGCATTTTCCTGAAAATACAAAATTGGCAAGTTTAATTTGTAGCTTCAAATTTAGATTGACATTTACTACTTCCTAATACAGATTCTTGGTTGCTTCACAGGTTGTTTCAAGGTATGCATGTTGATGACAGTGATTCGGATGCTGAAGATGAAGATTAGTTGCATCCTCTAATACTAAGAGCTGAAGAAACCAGAAATGGATTTTTCCTTTTTTGTTGTTGTTTGTTTGTTTGCTTTTTAGCTTGGTTACATGATAAAAGAGTGAAACAGTGCACGCTGCAGGATGCATACACAACAATTCACAGGCTGTTTCCAGAAACAGAAGACCTCTGATGCTTTAAGGTCCTTATGTTCATGTCCAGTGCTAAACAAAGTGAACAAACTAATAGCCAAAAATTTAAAAACAGTGTAGGAAACTCTACATATTGTGATGCACCCCTTTCTCTGAAACACTTTCTGGAAAGATTTCTGGGAATTTATTCAGGGGATCCAGCCTTGTAAGGGTCTTTGGATTCCAGCCTGCATGGTTTACAGCACTGTCCTGTACCTGAAAAGGGCTGGATGTGCTGTCTCTGGAGCTCTTCAGTGATGCTGCCCGTGCCCATCAGAGAGAGGCTTATTAAAATACAGCACAGGAATTTCTTCCTGTCTGCAGAAATTGCCAGTTGCTTCCCTAGCATCCCCTGACCTGGATCCAGATTGACTCATGTCTAGTAATCCACTGCTCTGGTACTGCTGCAGTTTACTTGTGATGGGGAATTTGGGAGCGGTTTTTCTTCCCTTCAGTAAACCTAGTTACCTTGATTTTTGCTGAATCTCTCTGTAGAAAAGTTACAGCCACTTATTGCATATTTGGTTTGGTTCATTAATTAATCTCCATATTACTATAGTATATTAACTTATTTGTTTGGTTCTTATTTGCATAATGATGAATACTAAAGCAGCTGATAGAATTTGTGCCCAGTCTGTGAAATTCAGTACAGTTCTTTTTAACCAAATATTTGTGAGGTGATTAAATAAAGCAAACTTCTGCTGAGCTGAATTTTTACAGATGTACAGTCAGTGGTAAGTTGAACCTTTCAGCTGACTGAAGACTGCCTGTTTTTCCTTCCGAAAGTCTAATATAATGTTAGTGAAGAAAATGTTATGGTAAATACTTCTGTCTAAAGAACTTGCATAGATAAATGGCTCTGGAGTACTATCAGCTCTGCTTCTGAACTAGATCACTCGTTCATGCTGTTATTACATGTCAAAATGGCGTTAAGCTGTTGGATAAATAAATCTTCTGCTGCCAGGGCTTCAGTAGAAGTCTCTGAAGCAAGAAAGCAATGATTGGAAGAAACCACTACACTGTCAGAACTGCTTTTCACGTACACGATGGACAGAAAATATTGTGCTCATGTTCTGTGTTTAAAATGAAGCCCAGGTGCTTGGTAATGCTGCAGAGCCTTGAGAGGAACAGTTCACATCCAGCTTTTGTTGTTAGTAAATAAATCTTTACTCAGATGTACTTGGCCAAACCGAGCAGTGGTTTTAGCTCGCTTCTTTAGAAGACAAATATTCCTGTTGCACAACTCGCCATCATAGCTGGTAGACTTAGGAGAGATCAAAGATATGGAAGACACAGGACAAATTCCATATCATGTGGAGATGGGCCATGGTTGCCTTGGATGAGGCCAGGGTATGCAGGGTGAGTTTGCTTTTTGCTAATATTGTGTATAATTTGTACTTCTGGCACCTTTCACATGCACTAAAATCACTTTAAGACCATAATCCTGGTTGTTGTCATATCTGGTATGGGATGAATACAGGGTACAGAAAGTCACCAGGTGGAACAGAACAATGCTCTTTTTCTGGATGACCACTGTGATCATGTAACATATTTAACAGTGCGTCACACTGATTCATGTGTCTAGTGACCATATGTATAAAGGTGAAGTCCAGACTTGCACAGATCTCAGGAAAGGGACTCCTGGCCTTTCACTTGTTCATAAAGCCAGTGCTCTCACTTCTTCAGAGTTCTAAGAAAAGATGTCTGTTTGGATATGCTGTTTGCTAGCTCTGATACATGTTAAACACACAGCAATCAAGAATTCAGACTAATTCAACTGGATGAATGTAAGCAAGGTCTCTGAAATGTTTCTTTGTAATTGAGATATTGAGAAAAACACCCTATTGCATACCAGCTGTTTTAAGGAATGGTTATGTAAAGTGGATAAGGATATTTGGTTTCAGGGCTGTCCAGCCTCCCAGGCAGCCCCCCTCCCATTTGCAGGGATAGCCCTCACTTGCCTGTGGGCTCCCAGGTAGATAGCCCTGTTCTACTTCCTACTGCAATGCACTGCATAAGGGTTAGCTTTGTAAAGAATTTTTGCTGAGACAGCCACAAGGATAAAGCAACATTGCTGGTACTCTTTCCTTTTTAAGCAACCAAGAGCCCTGTTCCATCAACTTTGTAAGAAACATGTAAATCAGTATCTATTATAAAGATGAATGCGAGATAAAGATTAATAAATATTATTTAAATGTAGATCTGTAATTACTCATGCTAGTATTTGTTCCTTTTAATTGTAGGGTCTGCAGCTGAGCCCTGTTTTGTTACAGACTTCACATCAGAGGCATTCATGTTCCATTGCCATGTATGGACTATTCTTGATATTCAGCAGCTCAGAGCACTTGCCATAATCTTTGATAATCACGCTTTGGGAACAGTTGTTGGCTTTTACATACTTGACCTACACCTTGGGAGTTCTACAGTCTTTCCCTGGTTATAGGCAAATTATAGAAGCTGAAGTAATTACAGCTGCTTAGTAGTTAAAGAAAAATACTCACAGCTCCTGGGTAGATCCAGTTATGTTTAAAGCAAAACACACATTTTCTGCAGGAGTTCTAACTTTTTTAGCATTAGTTTTCATGGCCTGAATTAAATTTTTTTGAAAGTGCAGTTTTTCACATGAATTATAGGTAAAAATACTCTCTTAAACTGGAAGCCAATATGAAAAGTCAGCCCCAGAACTACATGCATCTTTCTGTATCTGTTCTTACAAGCTTTTTAAACCTACACAAATGGTTAGCAGATGTGGAGTGCTCAAGCCCTGGCCTGTAGGCCAGATCCAGCCCCTGGCACTGTCATCCAGCCTGCAGGGCTCTCCACAGACCTGGGGTGGGGGAGAACAAATGGGCTGGGGCCCCTCTACCACCCCTGCCCAGCTGGGCTCCAGTTATAAAATTGGCCTCATGCTATTTACATGGCCTGTAGGACCACTATCGTGAGCACCACTGCAATAGATTAACTGTACAGAGAGCCAAGGCTATCGCTTTCTCCAGGCACTGAATAAATGCATTTGTGCTGTGTTGCTTTATCAATTCAAAACTTTTCAAGAAAAAATCTAGAGCTACTGTGATTTTTAAAACTGCATATCTCATTCTCTAAGATTCTGGCACCTGCATCACACAGCTATTTTTCATAAACTGTTACCTTCGCTACTACTTTCTCATATGTTCCCAGGCGTCAATTAAGTCATGCTGTTTCTTTCCTTTTTTTGGTTAGACATGAATCGATTTCTTTTTCTGACAGTATTGGAATTCCATGGGCTTTGCAAAAAAAGTCAATTTTTGGCTAGAATGTTAAAAGTTGTGAATATAGTCGAGATGACACTGTTTATTTGGAAAAAATACTAGATTTAATGTAGAAAGTTACATTTTGAATGAAAAGGTCATGAATTTCAATGTAAAAAAAACATATTGCTCAAGGAAAGTCTTGCCACCAACTTTTCTCTACAGTGGTTTGGCACAAGCCCTTGTACAAGCTACAAAAAAGGTAACAGAACTTTATTCCTGGTTCCGATCCACAACACGAGTCTTGATTGAGGTCTGCTTATCACCAAGTGTGGTTAGGGGGCTACCATGAGTTGGATTTGTTGGCTGCAGTTTTCCATGTGAGGACAACAGGATACACCAACATGATGTAAGGAAAGGGAAGAGGCAATGTCTAGTCTCAGGCCCCACACTGCCATACCTGAGTATTAAACAACGTAGAGGAAGGACGCCACCATACGTTACATGTAAGAACATAAGCATTGCCATTTACTGGCTCAGACCACAGTTCTATCTTACCCAGTATCCTGTGGTGCACAGTGGCAAAGAATGGATGCAGGAAGGAAGAGTGAATGGGTAGGACGGGTTTGTCCCTCCTACTGTTCCTTTTCCACTTGCAACTCCCAGCATTTAAAAGGTATAGAAAGTCCTAATTCAGAGGCTATATCCTTAACTCTCATGCTCAATAGCTACTGCTACCTCTTTCCTTAAAAAATGTCCAATCCCTTTTTAAATATAAACATTTCTAAGCCATCATAAAACAGCAAAATAACCCTTGGGACATTATAATGTTGGGATTTAGTGTTTGTGTGTTTAAAACTACCCATAAACAAGACAGTAGTAGTTGTTACAGATGCAAGTAAATTATTATTTACCTATTCAGTAGCTACTGCACTTAGCAAGACAATTTGAGAGCCAGAATGTCAAGGTTTTTGCTTTACTGAGGAAAAAGGAAACCCAAAAAGTGTCCAGTCCCTCCCAGGAGTAGGACTTATCAGTACAAACTAAAAGGTGCAAGTTTTGAGGAAGGTTACTTACTGGCAGCCTCCAGCAGGGGCCAGTACAAATTCACTGGGGTCAGGAAGAAGCATTGTGGGAGAATTAAAAAAAAAACAAAACAGCAGTCATAGACTTATTTTACATAATCAGCTTTTTACATATCTTCATATTTGATACTAGAGATGCCCGATTTAGTTGCTATATAGATTAATACCTTGTTCACAACTGACTCTCTCATTAGAGAATTAAGTTAGTATTGGAAGTTGCCAGTACACAATGCAGAGGGTCCAGTCATGTGCTTAATTAATGCCATATAGTCAGCATCCATCTGCCTGGCTGGAGATGGAGAAAAGCAAGTACACTTTTTTTTTGTTAATTTAAGAGCCAATATAAGAGTGTGTGTAGCAACTCCTCCTGCCCCACAGCTGGTGTCCCAGAGAAGAACCTGTTGGTGTGCCCTGGATCAGAAGAAACTAATCACTGTATGGCTTCTTAGACTGGCTTCTTTCTACTCCCATCTCCTTCATACTATATAGGGGCTCCACAAGTTTGTTATGAACAAGCATTAAACCTGGTACATAAAATAAAAGGAAACATTTAGTATGGGTAAAATGCATTGAATTAAGGCATTTTGTTGGTGAAAATATAGCCATTACTAAAAGTTTATTCCTGCCCCTATGCACCTTTCTAAAAACAAAAAACCAAACAAACAAACAAAAAACACCTTTATTGGGAAGTCTTAGCAATGAGAATTACTAGTTTCACATTTTAAAAATTCTGTGATAAAGTGCCACTTTCTACCATAGGCAGGAAAAAAACCCCAAAACACATGGCATTTCATTCAAATAACTAAGCTGGCTTGATTGGTTTTGCTTATGGTTTCTAAGAAGCACCACTTGTTCTCGTATACTAGCCCAGCACTAGGGTTCAAAACACTGAAGTGGAACATTTAAATGTTCATCTGAAGATTTTAGTTCACTTTAAAAAGTAAACATGGAACACAAGATTTATCTGACAGCTTCTTCCTCAAAAGAAGAGCCTAT